GTTGTGGGGTTGTTAACCAATGTCATAAAACAACATGTGTACTACTGTTTCATGAGAAACTATTTGTTCTGTAAGCCTTCACCTGAAGTACAGTAAAATATAAAAAAAACATATAATGGGGCATGTTTTATTATTATTTTCCTATCAGAGCAGCAATTTTAAAAATTGCTAACAGGCTATGATGGTGAACATGTGGTGAAATGTTGCCATCATGCTCAACTGGTGAAGAGTATAAATTAGTGCCGTCTTTCTAGAACAGCTAGCAAAATCACAGGACAGATCCCTCTTTACCTCCTTACCACCTTCACTGTGGGATATTGTTGAGGACATTGTTGTCTATGTTGTGTGTGGTCCTTGCTTGGAGAACGTCTTGGTCTCCGTATTAACAATAGTTGTTCTCAGTACTTGTTAGTTCTGACCTGTGGACACTGTTAGCCTTGTGGCCCAATCCTCTTTTGCCCTGCCTACCAGGAAGCATCAGGCCCATTGTGTCTACCTCAGGACCCCTCCATGTGCATTTTCGATACTAAGCTCATGACCAGTGCATCCTGTTTTCCTCCGCTTGGTTCCCCTTGCCACACACTTGCCATGGAAGGTGAGACCCAGGCCTCCCCCTCCCCATCTTTTGTCTTTCAGAATCCATGTCCAGAGGCTGGGGCCTCCTTCCCCTCTAAGGCCATGTTCTGGTGGGTTTCTGGGTAAGTAAAGTGGCAGGGCGGGGGCTGGGGTGGTATTCCCACCCACCTGCCCAGCTGCTTTCCTTCCTCACCACAGCTCTCCCTACCCCAACCCTGAGGTTTCCCCCAGGCAGACGGAGGCCGGCCAGGCTTTCACCCACCCAGCCTCACTTAACCTCTGAGCCTGTTTATTCCTTATCTGTAAAATGGGTCAAGAATAATCTAGGCTCACATGAGAATTAAATAAGATAATATTAAATAGACTGAGACCAAAACCAAACCCATTGCTGTTGAGTCAATTCTGGCTTACAGCGACCCTATAGGGCAGACTAGAACTGCCCCATAGTGTTTCTAAGGCTGTAAATCTTGATGGAAGCAGACAGCCCCGTCTTTCTCCAACAGAGTGGCTGGTGGGTTCAACCACTTACCTTCCATTAGTGGCTGAACACTTAACCATTGCACCAGTGGGCTCCTTGTAAACTGAGAAGTGCCTTGCAAGTGTTGGGTGCAGTCAATACCTTTCATTTTACTGAGGGGCCAGCAGAGGTGCAGAGAGGAAAAGTGACTAGCCCAGGGTCACACAGCTTCCCAGCAGAACTCTGCAGGGGGTGGATGGCAGGAGGAGCTTGCCCTGGTGACCCTCTTTTACAGGCTGGTCTGGAGAGGCTACAGGAGGCCTCTGGGACCAAAAGATCTCTGGTCACTTGGGAAAGAAAACTCCTCAGAAGAACTTGTTTCCCAGCTTGAAAGAGAATGGACAAAGAAGCGGGCAAGGTGAGTGCATGGAGGTCAAGGGCTCAGCTGGATTCTGAAGCTCATCATTTGGCCCCAAATACAACCCCTAACCCTACTCTGGGCTCCACCTCCACAATCCCCAGATTGCCAGTTGATCCCACTAAGCATTAACTGATCAGGCTGAAGATACAGTTCCTCCCAGAGTGCTTTGCAGGTTTCAAAAGGAGCCTAACAAATGGAGAGTTCTTAGAGGCCCCAGAAGGAAGTAATAATGGTAGAATGGCAGGCAGGAGACAGCAGAGGTATTTTAAGATTGAGAGTGGAGAAATGGGTGGCAGCCTATAACATGCAGGCAACCAACTGCTCACTTATCATTTAACCTTATTAATTAGCTTCCTAGACCTCAGTTTTTTCATCCGTTCAATGGGGATGTCATTAGCCCCTAGCTCATAGCTTACAGGGGGTGAAAAAAAGAGGATTCATGGAAAAGGACTTGGCGAATTCTTGGAAGGTAGTAAGAGCTCAAGCAATATTAGTTATCCAGAGGTTTTCAAGCTCTTTCTAAGTACTGTCCACTCTGCCTCACTCTTTTTTTCGTTTTGTTTTGTCTTGTGTTTTTGTTTTTCTACCTTTTTTCATCAACTATTGTGTATAATTTCTTTTTCTTTTTTTTAATAATATTTTATTTATTTTTGTTGGCAATCTACACAGCCAAGCATACATTCGTTCACAATTTCTACGTGAACCGTTCCGTAACACTGGTCGCATACCTCATGGTGTATCACTGTTCTCACTCTCTCTCGCATATTTGTTTCATCACTGTTAATTTAGGCTGTCTGCCCCTTAAAGTTCTTATCTATGCTTTGGATTAACTGTTGTCAGTTTACACTCATATAGTTAATTTTTTATAAGAGTGCTATGCTTGAGGCAAAAACTCTTTATTAATTGGGCTAAAATATTGTTTCGTTTAACAGTGGCTTTGTGGGATAGTTTTGGTTCAAGGTTTAAAGATTATTTCCAAGCATCAGCTTCAGGGGTTCCCCCAGTCTCAATGGATACGGTAAGTCTGGTTCTACATGAGTGTGAACTTCTGTTCCATGCGTTTCCTTCTTTTGTTCAGGAGCCATCTACTGGGTCCTTGATCAAAATGTTCAGTAATGGTAGCCAGGCACCACCCATTTCTTCTGGTCTCATGGTAATGGAGCTAATAGTTTATGGAGGCAATTAAACCTGTGGTCCGTTTCCTTCTCCGATTCCTGGGTCTCCTTCCTCTGCTGTTCCAGGCAAATAGAGACCAATTGTTATATCCTTTGTGGCCCCTTGTAAGCTTTTAAGACCTCAGGTGCTACTCACTGATCTAGGAGGTAAAACAGAATCTATCTTACTCTTGCTCTCTGTGGCATCTCTGGAAACTTCTGTGGAGTGCTTAGAGCCTGAGGAACCCAGTTTGAGAAACACCAGTCTAAAGAAATGAGCCTTCAACATAGATTAGGTAAGTCTAGGTTGAATGCCGCCCTGCCATTAAGTAGAGAATGACCTTGGACAAGTCACTTGACCTCACTGGACCTCAGTGTTTGAGGGGACAGAACAAACATCACTTAGCTCTGTGCGAAGAGTCAGAAGGTTCCCTTGTACATACTAGGATTTTGTTGTGCTTGTTGCAGATGGCTGAATCCCACAAATTAGATGAAGCGAGAGAAAGAGAGAGAGTCCGTCTATTGGCTTACATAACTGAGAAGGTGGGCCTAGCCTCAGGCATGGCTGGATCCAGGATTCTCTCCGTGTATCTCTCAGCTTGGCTGTTACCTATGTATTGGTCTCTCCAGAAGTGTTGTCTCATGACATGCCAGTTCTGCCATCCCAGAGCAAAGAGAGAGACTTTCTTTCCTAGAATCTATATAGACTATCCCAAGGAAGGTCTGTGATTGGCCTGGCTTGAGTCATGTGCATATCAGGAGCCAATCCCATGGCTAGAGGCATGGGAGTGAGTCCCATGATCGGTGGCCCCTTCAGAACCACATGAGGTAGGAGAGGGGCTGCTTCCCAAAGGAAGGGGGTGCAGTTTTTTGCAAAGGGGGGAAATGATGTTAGCAAACTAAACAGCTTTCCTCTCACCGCAGGTGTATCCTGCCACACTGTCCCTCCACTCTTAAACGATTTACAGAAGTGGCAGAATTAATTCCCAAGAGCCCAGGAGATCTAGACCACTGTCTCCCAGCTCCTGGCTTCTCCAGCCAGTGTGAGAGTTATAATCACCTAACACTGGAGCAAGCAGATAGAAACATTCTCTGGAACAATTGGAGAACCCTCCCTTAAACAATTGGCAGAAAGAAAGGGGAAAGGCAAAATTAGGCAAAGACCTGACTCAGTCATTTCTGGGCTGATTGATTACACACAGAGAGGACTTTGGTTTTGTTTTTGAAATGTTGTGCAACTATTGAGGGAAGGGAGAGGATGCTGTTGAGAGAGGTCCCACACCAGCCACCTGCTGGCCAGATCAGGCTCACAAGGTACGTTTGCTACACATGGTGTTTTGTTGTTGTTTTGTGTCTTAATAAGTCGCCAACATTTAAAACTCTGGAGATTTCACATTTTTAAAAAATCAGGATTTTTGGCTTTAAATAGATCTGGCAACACTGGCCCACATCCCTGCATGGCAGCGGCAGGGGGGATCTGGGTAGAGGATGCCCCACCGGACAGGGCATGTACCCTTCAGTTTGCCGCAGTCCCCACCACTCCCTTTTGTATCCTCCAACTTATACCTGGCCCACATCACTCATTCATACCCCCTGCCTCACTCTGTAGTCATTTGAATTTGTAAGTCTTATACTAAATGACCTTCAGTCCAGAGATCAAAGGCCAGACACCAGTCAAGAAATCTTCCCTGATCTCAAATACCTGCTCTTCCCCTCACTGCTTGACCTTGAGCAGCTGTCACCACCCCTCAGACCCTCAGTCTCTTCAGTAAAATGAGGAGTCTAATAAATACCCACCTACAAGGAGGTCAAGAGGAGTTGAAAAGCTCGTGTGTAAAGAGCTGACTGCTGTGCCTGCCCAGCGTCAGAATTACTGATAGCCCCCTAGGTTGTCAGAGCTCGAAGGGACCCAGAGAGTGGCAGCAGCCGTGTCCTTTGACACACGGGGGCACCGCAGCACAGAGAGGGCACCAGTTTGTTCAAGGCCACACACCAACTGGAGCTGTCAGCCACAGCATCACCCCCGCTCCTCCATTATGGCCGAGGACTGGCCTCAGGAAGGGCCCCCTGATTCCCTCCACTTCCTCTCCCTCCCTCCCCTTAGCTCTGCCTGTCACCCCTGGTATGACCAAGGGCCGGAGTCTTTTTGTTTCTAGGCTGCCTAAGCCTCTGTCTGTGGTTTAACCCAGCATCAGTGTTGCTTATGGGCCAGCACCTCCGGGCGGCCAGTTCGGGGGGCTGTGTCCTAGTCTCCTAGTGCTGCTATAACACAAATCCCACAAGTGGGTGGCTTTAAAGACCAGAAACTCATTTCCTCACAGTTTGGGAGGCTAGTAGTCTGAATTCAGGGCACCAGCTCTAGGAGAAGGCTCTCTCTCTTCTCGCTCGACTCCGAGGGAAGGTCCTGGTCTCTTTCAGCTTCTGTTCCTCGGTTCCTTGGTGATGTTCTCGTGGCATCTTCCTTCCCTCGTTTGTGCTCTCGTCTCTGTGTCTGTGCTGCCCCTTATAACTCAGAAGTGATCAGGTTTAGGAGGCACCCTACACGGATATGACTCGTTAACATAACAAAGAACACTCTGCTCCCAAACAGGGAACATCCACAGGTACAGGGGTTAGGATTCCAACACATATTTGGGGGGGACACATGCATGATAGACAGCATGATAGATCAAAAAGTTTACAGGCTCGGGAGGCAGAGAGTCAGGATCATATCCCAGTTCTGCTGCTTCTTAGCCCTTGGACAAGTTCACCCCTCTGACCCTCCAGTCTCCTCATCTGTGCAATGGGAATAATACCCGGCTCGCTAAGTTCTTAGGAGTGCCTGGAACGTAAAAACAAAATCAAACATCTGTTGGCTTGGAGTCAATTCTGACTCATAGCAACCCTATAGGACAGGATAGAACCTCCCCATAGGGTTTCTAAGGAGCAGCTGGTGGATTTCTTAACCACTGGGCCACCATAGTGGGTGCTCAATACATGTTCATTCCCACCACTGTCCATGAGATGTTAGGGCTGCCCTCCTGCCTGCCCCTGAGCCCACTGTGACTGATTGTCACAACAGTGGGTTCACCTTGAACGAAGTAAGTCAATCACAAAAGGACAAATAAACTTTATGATCTCACTTGTATGAAATAAGCAAATATATAGAAACCAAAGATTAGTAGTAGTTACCAGGGGTGGTGGTGCAGTGGTTAAAGCATTAGGTTGCTATATACCAAAAGAACTGCTAACCCAAAGGTCAGTGGTTCAACCCAGCAGCCACCCTGTGGGGAGAAAGATGTGGCAGTCTGCTTCGGTAAAGATTACAGCCTTGGAAACCCTATGGGGCAGTTTTCTCTGTCCTAGAGGGTCGCTATGAGTCAGAATTGACTTGATGGCAACAGGTTTGGTTCTTTGGCCAGGAGTAGGAAGAGGGCAAAGGGAGAGTTTCTGCTTAGGGGGCATTTGAGTTTAATGTTAATGATGGTGGAATCATTTGGAAAAAGATAATGGTGGCACAATATGAAAAATGTAATCAACACCTTTGCGTTGTAAACATGGAGGTGGTTGTGCTGCTGGATGTGTTGGTGTGTATATTTTCACCATTGGGGGGAAAAAAAGGTAAAAGTGGGTTCTCTGGTTGATAGGAAGGAAATGGGGAGTGAAGCTGGTTCCATGCACACCCATCCCCTTTGTTGGGAAAATAACCCTTTAATGTCTGGTCCTGCTGCCTGCAGGCCAGCTGCCACCTCTGAGGATACACAGAAGGACCCGCCCAATTTCTCTCCTTCCCTAAGGCACACCAAGGCTGCAGCACTTGGAAGGAGAGGAGGCAGTGGTGCGGAGGCCCAGGAGACCGAGGCCTTCCTACAGGAAGAAGGGAGTAAGAGGGGCCCGCTGCTGGGCGCCATCTGGCAGGTGTCCCGCTCTGCCTTCCTCCTAGGGACCCTCAGCCTTGTCATCAGTGATGTCTTCAGGTTCACTGTACCCAAGCTCCTCAGGTGGGTCCAGACCTTGGGTGTCTTGCTAAAGTCTGTTGTCCCTTAACAGCATCCCTCTGGGGCCAGTGGTTCTGCCCTCTGCCCATGCTCTGTCTTTTACAGCCTCCAGGCACAGGGCATCAGAGGGTGGGTGAGGAGGATACAGAAGAAGGGAAAAAATAAATGAGAAAGCAACTGACCTTAGGGAGGGAAGATGAATTAACTCTGACCTGACTGTATCCGTTAGCTTTCATCAAAAGTTAGTGGCTTAAAACAGCAGACGTTTATTTATTTAGCTTATAATAATGTGGGGCAACAATTTGGACTGGGCTCGGCTGGGCTCAGCTGGGCAGTTCTTCTGGCCTTGGCTGGGCTCACTCCTGTGTCTGTGCAGTCAGCTGCTGGGTGGGCTGAGACTGGCTTAGTCTGAGGTGGTCTCAGCTGGAATGGCTTGTGTTTGCTCCATGTTGTCTCCCATGCTCCAGACGGCTAGCTCAGGCTTGTTCATATGGCAGCTTGGCAGGGTTGCAAGAGATCAAGCAAAAGCTACATGCTCTTTTGGGCCTAGGCTGCACATTTCACCTCCACTGTATTCTGTTGGCCTAACTGGTCACATGGCCAGCCCAGATTCAAGGGGTGGGGACAGAAGCTCTACTTTTGGTGGGAGGAACTGCAAAGTCACATTGAAAAGGCATATGGACAGTGAAGGAAATAATTGCAGGCATTTTTGCAAACAATATGCCACACTGACCCTCCACACCTGGCCAGGTTTGGGCAAAGGCAACATCAGGGGTACTTCTTCTTATCAGCTGTATCCCCTTCCCTTCCTCCCAAGCCTTTTTCTGGAGTTTGTTGGTGATCCGAAGGCCCCAGCCTGGAAGGGCTACCTTCTCGCGGTGCTGATGTTCCTCTGTGCCTGCCTGCAAACGCTGTTTGAGCAGCAGCACATGTACAGGCTGAAGCTGCTGCAGATGAGGCTGCGGACAGCCATCACTGGCCTGGTGACCAGAAAGGTGAGCCCCTGCAGGAGAGGCCCCTGCCTTCCATTCTCTCCCTGCCATCCCAATTTTTTTTGTTTTGTTTTGTTTTATTGTGCTTCAGGTGAAAGTTTACAGCTCAAGTTAGTTTCTTATACAAAAATTTATATATACATTGTTATGTGACCCTAGTTGCCCTCTCTGTAATGTGACAGCACACTCCCCCTTTCCACCCCAGATTTCCCGTGTCCATTCAACCAGCTCCTGACCCTCTCTGCCTTCTCATCTCACCTCCAGCCAGGAGCTGTCCATTTAGTCTCATGTTCCTACTTGAGCTAAGAAGCACACTCTTCACGAGTATCATTTTATGTCTTATAGTCCAGTCTGTTCTTTGTCTGAAGACTTGGCCTCGGGAATGGCTTTAGTTCCCCCCAGTCCCATTTTGCATACTAAAGTTCCAGCAAGGAAGGTTGAGGCCACTGAGCTGTTAACAATATCAGTGGCTGAAAACTCACTCGTACTACACTCTCACTACTCATACTCCACTCTTACCTTCTTGGCTGTTTCCGTAAGACCTTGCACGATCTGGCTCCTGGGGACTTCTGTGACCTCCTCATGTCACATCAAACACACATAACACGACCATTCCTCCCTTGCACATCCCCTTCCAACCACATAGGTCTCTTTCAGTTCCTCAAACACACCAGGCACCCTCCCACCTCAGGACCTTTGCACCTGATGTTCCTGCTGCCAGAGCACTCTTCCCACCCCACTTTGTCTGACTGACACTCGACCCTCATGAGGATAAATGGTTAACTCTCTGGTTGTATGGAACCTGGATAACAGTGGACTGTCAGCCATGTGGTAATATGGCTTATGGTCAAAGTGACCCAACTGTTTGGAGCCCTGGTAGTGCAGTAGTTAAGAGGTCGCCTGTTTACCAAGAGGTCAGCAGTTCGAATCCACCTTGAAAACCCTATGGGGCAATTCTGCTCTGTCCTATAGGGTCACTATGAGTCGGAATCAACTCAGCAGCAATGGGTTTGGTTTTCTGGGTTTTGGTTGGTAAATTGCATCTGGGCTAGAAGTCCCGTCAGTCAGCACAGCTTTGGGCTTCAGGGCCCTTGAAGCTAAGCCCACGAGACTGCTTCAGGAAATACTGACTGCTGTGGGGTCCAAGGCATCAGAGCCAGGGCGGAGCCCGCACTGTGCCGTGTGAGTCTCATTCTCTCACACTTGAGCTGTCTCACCCGGAGGGAGGGAGACAAAGAGAACAGCTCCTGGATGGCTGTGTGGGCAGCTCCTGAGCCTGCCCGGCCGGTGAGCTGTGTTTCCTGACCTGTGTCCTCTGAGCGTGGTGCTAGGTGTGGCCTGTCTGCTCTGTGTGTGTGGTTGAGCCTTGGAGGAAGACTGCCTGGGGGCACTGCACTTCCGAATCCCCCTCTACTGATTAGGTCTGACCCTCCACTCCACCTCTGCACAGCCACTTCATGGCACTTAGCACAATTGCCATGAAAGAGCCAGTTACTTAAATAAGTTTAATTATTTATATTTAATTAATTAATAAGTAATTTGTTAATTAACTTTGTTCCCTAACTCAGACTCTAGTCCCGGAAGAACAAGACCCCGAAGTCTGTTATTCACAGCTGTACTCTCAACACCCAGCTCAGTGCATGCACTTAGGATCAGGTGCTCATAAACCCACTGCCATCAAGTGGATTCCAACTCATAGCGACCCTATAGGACAGAGTAGAACTACCCCCTAGGGTTTCCAAGGCTGAAATCTTTACAGAAGCAAACTGCCACATCTTTCTCCCACAGAGCGGCTGGTAGGTTAGAACCACTGACCTTTCGGTTAGCAGCAAAGCAGTTAACCACTACGCCAGCAGGGCTCCTTGGTGCTCAATAAAGATGTGTTAAATGACTGAATTTCTGCACTCAGTCACCCCCCCACCCCCGCCACACTCAGCAAACATTCCTCCAGAGAGGATTGCAAGTAGAACTTAGGCTCCAATGGGCTGGATGGGGTCCACTATGACCCCAGGGCTGGGGCACATTTGGAACTACCCGAAAACCAGGTTGGTGCCAGGGAGGCATGAGAAATAACACTGACTAGATGGTCGATCCATCTAGCCCATGTCATGCCTCAGTTGTCCTGGATTCCAGTCCTAGCTTAGCCACTTACAGGCTATCTGACTTTGGGCAAGTGGCTTAACTTCTCTGTACCTCAGTTTCCTTGTCTGTAAAACGGGTGTAGTAATCTTATACCTCATTAATTCTAGTCTTATTTTTTTTTCACTTTTTAACACCTCTGAAGTTGAGATGTGTCATACATGTCTTAATTTAATTGGCAGTGATTTTTTCCCTTAGTGATGCAAAAATAGGAAGCGTTTTATTGATGGAGCTTTAGGTAGAATGAAGAAATGGTAATACCTGCTACATACGGTTGTTGTGAGCATCAGAAGACAGAATGAAGCTATTCATTTAGCACAGTGCCTGAGACATAGTCAAACCCAAAACACAAAACAAAACAAAACTAGTTGCCATCAAGTTAACGGTGACCCGTAGCGAACTCATGTGTGTCAGAGTAGAACTGCGCTCCATGGGGTTTTCAAGGCTGATTTTTCAGAAGTAGATCGTCAGGCCTTTCTTCTGAGGGTGGATTTGAATCATCCACCTTTTGGTTAGTAGCCGAGCACTTAACCATTTGCACCACCAAGGACTCCTTGAGATACAGTTAGTGCTCAGCAAATTATCACCAGTGTCATTGTTACTAACCCAGCGTGTCTGTGATCTTGTTTATTGTTATTATTTATTACTGCTTTATTCATTATTACTGCTCCAGCGCTTTAGGGAGCATTTTTACTTCTGTCATAAACCTCAGTTCTGACAAAGGCCCTGTGACATTAGCCAAGGAGATTTTACCAGTCCATTTTACGGATAAGGAAACTGAGGCCCAGAGGGAGAAGAGACCTGCCCACGGCCACTCAGTGCAGCCTGGAATCCAGCTGAGCACTTGCTCTGTCCTCGCCAAGGGCCACCCTCCCGCCTGCCGCCCTCCTTGCCCCCCCTTCCCTCTGACTTCGGGTATCGTCCTCCTGCCCTGCCCAGGTCCTGGCTCTCTCCAGCGGCTCCAGGAAGGCCAGCGCAGTAGGGGACGTGGTCAACCTGGTGTCCGTGGACGTGCAGCGGCTGACTGAGAGCATCCTGTACCTCAACGGGCTGTGGCTGCCCCTCATCTGGATTGTCGTCTGCTTCGTCCTCCTGTGGCAGGTGCGGCAGGGCAGAGAGGGATTTGCACTGAATTCCCCGCTGCCTCCTTCCTCTCCCTGGCTCTGTCCACACGCGGTGACACTGTGGGCAGGTAACATGGGAAAGGGTTAGAGTAGGATGGTCTGAGCTTGATGTCATCCTCTCTGGGCCTCTGTTCCCGTGTCTGTAAAATGAGGATGAAGATGCTGAGGATGTTGATACTCGTTGGGTGTGATGTTGGGTATCCCGTAGGCAGATTCAGCACGTCCTGAAGGTACCAGCAAAGCTGGGGCACCACCAGCCACAAGAAAAAAAGAGAAAATTTTAGGGGAAAAAATATGTTACCCAGTTTTCAAAAAGCATAAAATAGCTGTCAGGCTAACAATCAGAACTTTGTCTGACTTCCTTACGTTTATTTTGTGGTTTAAATTTTTTTTTTTTTAATTTATCATTAAGAGCACAGACTATAGCTGGACATCCTGAGTTCGGATCCTGCTTTTACTACTTACTAGGTATAAAACCATGGACAAGTTACTGAACTCTGTGCCTCAGTTTCCTCATCTGTAAAATGGGGATAATAATCAACAGTAGTACCGCTGCCTTAGATTTATTGAGGGATTCAACGAGTTAATATATGTAAAGCTCGTAAACCCATACCTGGCACACAGTTGTACTCTACAGTTATTTGCTAGTATTGCTGTTCATTATGCCTGAGGACTGTCTGAAGATCTTACTCCAGAACACTCCAGGGGTGAGTGCAGGGCTAGGCAAAGGTTTTCTGTGAAGGGCCAGATAATAAATATTCTGTGGGCCAGATGGTCTTTGTCACAACTACTCGGCTCTATGGCTGTAATACAGAAACAACCATGTTGTTGTTGTTGCTGTCGAGCCGATTTCAACTCATAGCGACCCTATAGGACAGAGTAGAACTGCCCCGTAGGGCTTCCTAGGCTATAATGTTTACGGGAGCAGATCTCCAGGTCTTTTCTCCCATGGAGTGGCTAGGGGGTTCAAACCCCTGAACTTTCAGTTAGCAGCCAAATGCTTAACCATTGCACCACCAGGGCTCCTTCAAAGTAACCACAGACAGTACATAAATGAATGGGCATGGCTATGTTCACCGACTTACGGGGTCGGGGTATCAGTGAGGCAATGATTGTGAATGCTGCATGCTGTCATTGTTCTGCTGCTTCCACCCGCCCCGTGGGACATGGGCTGGGACTCCTCTGACTCGCTCACACTGAATTCCAGGGCCTGGTACACAGTTGGTGCTCAGCAGGTACACACAGGGTGCTTTGAAGAGTGCCTGACATGCAAGAAATAAAATATTAGCTGTTATTATTAGGAAGAAAGAGAGGGAGGGAGGAGGGGGCAAGCACTTGGGAAAGTACAGGGCAATGGAGCAGGTAAACCAGGGACCAAAGTGATAAAAATCAGCTGAGGCCAACAAGATATCAGTCAGCAGCTCTTGTGTGCTTTCCCTGGCTCTTGGCAGACCATTCTTAGCTCAAAGGGTCACCATGAGATCCTGGTTAAGGAAGGGTGGACTCTGGGTTATACAGTTAGTTGCTACCATTTTTGCCAGAGAGGAGGAGTTTAACCTTTCGTTCACATTTCTTTGAGTATTTTTCCAATTCTGCTGGTGGCCCGGTATTTGCCTTGTGGACACTTCTCCATTTCGCCACTGGGTGGCGACATTACTGCACAAATAAAACTGCTGGCCAAAATAAATTTGCTTGCTCAGTTCCCAAGATTAGAAAATTGTTGTTCCTGAAGGCTGAGAAGGGAAACTGAGGCCCAGAGACTGGGACAGGGTGGGGCTCATCTGGAGAATGAGCCTGATGGACCTCTAGAGGAATTTCAAGAAGTCACAGCTTGAGGTGAACTTAAAAATTATTGATTCTTGTCTTAGGCTGGGTTCTCTAGAGAAGCAAAACCAGTAAAGTGTATAAATATATATATAGGGAGAGAATATATCAAGGAAACAGCTCATGCGATTGTAGAGGCTAGAACGTCCCAAGTCCGTGGATCAGGGTAGAGGCCTCTCCCAAGTCACACAGCTATAGAAGCTGGCAAGCCCAAGATCAGAAGATCGGAGAACAGGGCTTCCGCTCACAGGCTGTGCAGATCAACAAATCCCAGGTTCAGCAGATAAGCTGACAGCTCAAATCCCAAGAACAGGAGATGAGACGACAGGAAGCAGCCGCAGGATCCAGAGAGAGCAAAAAGCCAGAACGTCTGCTTATATACAGATACGGGCCACACCCCCAAGGAGACTCCCTTTCATCTGATTGGCTACTCACAGTATATTCACTCATGGGAGTGATTGCATTAAAACACGGAGAATCATGGCCCAGCCAAGTTGACACACAATCTTAACCATCACAATCTTATACCCCACCTCCTCCATTTCCAGATCAGAAACCAAAGCTGCAAAAAGAGTATGACTATCCCAAAGTCACAAAGCTGGTCGAGGGAAGGGTTACCAGACAAAATACGGCACGCCCAGTTAAATTTGAATTTCAGGTAAACAGCAAATAATTTCTCAGTATACGTATATACCAAATAATGCATGGGATATACTTATACTAAAAACTTATTTGCTGTTTATTTGAAATTCAGATTTAACTGGGCATCCTATATGTTTATTTGCTAAATCTGGCAATCCTCGTTGGTGGGGGAGTAAAGACTAGGATAATTGATCAAATGACATGATCACTTAGTATGTGCCACATCCTATCTCCAGCACTTGACCTTCAATCCACTCAACAACCATGTTGTTGCTGTTAGCAACTCATGGTGACCCCATGCACAACAGAACAAAACGTTGCTCCATCCTGCGCCATCCTTATGATCACTTGGGGATTGGACCGTTGGCTGATTTTCAGAAGTAGATCACCAGGCCCTGCTTCCTAGTCTGTCTTAGTCTAGACACTCTACTGACACCTGTTCAGCATCATAGCCACACACAAGCCTCCACTGACAGACGGGTGGTGGCTGTACTTGAGGTGCACTGGCTGGGAATTGAACCCAGGTCTCCTGCATGGAAGTCAAGAATTCTACCACTGAACCACCACTGCCCCGTGCAACAACCATGAGAGATGGAATCAGTTCTGTTCCCATTTTACAGATGAGGAAACTGCAGCTTAGGGAGGGTAAGTGACTTGCCCGAGGCCACACCAGTAAGTGACAGGGCCAAGATTTGAAGCCAGGTTCTCATTTCAGAGGTCTCAACTTGACTCTCTTGCCCTGCCTATCTTGATGCATGTCTTAAACATAACCACCCCCCTCCCACTGTGTGAGATGGCTCAGTGACTCCCCCTCCCTAGCATAAAAGGACCCCATTTTCAGCAGGCCTCTCCTTCCATGGACCCCCATGGGCTCAGTCTCCATAACCTGGTGGCTACTGCCCTCCCACTGCTTGGCTCCCCCCACCGCAGGACCCAGGTTGAGCCCCACGCTGACCAAGTCCTTCAGGGCCAACAGCTGGGCTCCTGCCCCTTCTGTCTCCAGCTCCTGGGACCCTCTGTCCTCACCGCCATTGCTGTCTTCCTGAGTCTCCTCCCTCTGAACTTCTTCATCACGAAGAAGAGGAACCACCATCAGGTTTGCGTTGGGAGAAGAGATGCGCTAGGTAGGCACCCTCAGGACGTAGGGGCCAGGCACCTCCCGTCCTAGACCCGGCATTGGTGCTGGAGATGGGGGGAGGCAGGGTGTCCCTTCCAGGTGTGCTCCTCGCTCTGACCTGCCCCCCTACTTCCCCATCTCGGTGGGGGTGGCCCATCCTCCCAGTGTTTGGGCCCCAAACCAGGAGTCCCCTTTGATGCCTCTTTCTCTCCCAGTCAGTCAACTAGCAAATTCGGTCGACCTCACCTTCTAAACACATCTGGAATGTTGCCCCTTCACACCTGCAGCCCTCCCAGCCCCACACCTCTCTCACCTGAGCCCTGCAGCTCCCTGACTCCGCTCTGCCCTCACCCCCCAGCCTCTTCTCCTCATGTCGCATCCTCTGCCCAGAGCCCCCGCCGTGGTCCACATCCTGATCAGCCAGCCTCACCTCCCAGCCTCACCTCCTGCTTGGCCCCCTTGGCCTCCTCGGAATCCCAGACCAGCCTTTGCTCCTGCTGCACCCTCTGCCCGGAGCACCCTTGCCCCAGGTGGCCCGGTGTCTCCACCCTCCCCACCCCACCAGCTCCTTTACCTGCTCCGCTTTTCCCCACAGCACCCGCCGCTGTAGCCCGCCCTGTGACTTAGCCCGCCCTGTGACTTAGCCCGCTCCGGCTCTGATATTGTCTCTCTCTCTCTAAAGACTGTCAGCTTCCCAAAGGCAGGGACTGCTTGTTTTGTTCATCGAGGTGGACTCTGCATTTAGACTAGCATGGGGATGTGACCAAAAGAAGGAGAGGAGAGGGGAGGAGAGGGGAGGGAAGGAGAAAAGAGGTGGGGAGGGGAGGAGAGGGGAAAGGAGGGAAAAAAGGAAGAAGGGAGGGAGGAAGGAAAGAATGTATCCCCTCCTTTTGCCTCACTGCCCCATCCATGCTGTCCATCTCTCACGTGGACCATGCCCCTTCCTGGGGGAGGCAGTAGAGCCCAGACTCCTCTGCCTGACCTTCCAGCCCCTCCGTGATCCAGCCCACCCGTCCCCACGGACCTGCACCCCCACCCTGGCCACATCATGTGTAGTGAACTGTGCTGTTCCCTCATCCCTTCCCTCCTCCCTCCCTTCCCTCCATCTTCCCACCCTTACTTCATCTACCACTGCCTGTGTACTCAGCACCTCCTCATGGTTTGAGCTGGAGCCCAGGTGTCCCCTCCTCCGGGAAGCCTTCCTGGTGACACCATGCCCAAGTCTACTGGGGGAGGGGAGCTCTGTTCCCTGGCATGGGGTGTCCCCTCTGTGATGGCAGTACCACCCTCAGAATAAGAGCAGATGCCAGGAGGCCCCAGCAGCGAACCAGGTACAAGAGGACATGGCTTAGGCCAGGGCGTGTGGCAGATGCACGAGAGACTGGGGACATGGCTTGGAGGCAGAATTGCAGGACTTGCTAAAGGAGGGATGTGGGGGTGGAGAGAGGAGGGTTCTAGGCTTGTCCCCTCTTTCCCCGTCTTATGCTAGGAAGAGCAGATGCGTCAGAAGGACTCCCGGGCACGGCTCTCCAGCTCCGTCCTCAGGAATGTGAGGATCATCAAGTTCCATGGTTGGGAGGAGGCTTTTCTGGAGCGCGTCCTGCACATTCGGGGTCAGGAGCTGGGTGCCCTGCGGACCTCCGGCCTCCTCTTCTGCGTGTCCCTGGTGTCCTTCCACGTGTCCACGTTTCTGGTGACGTCACTCTTCTCACTGCAGAGCATGGGGGTGCTGGGGGCAGTGAGGTCAGGGAGCCCCAGATCCCGGTGACAGCCCCTGCCCCTCAGAGCCTGTCCATGTAGCCCACCCCATCCACCAAAACGTACCTGTTCTGGATCCTGTTCTGTCCCAGTCCCTACTTTCTGCTGAGTTCACTAACCAATCCCATCATTCCCATGAAGGTGGCAATGGCTGCTGATATTTAGGCCTCCCTTCCTTCTCCTCCCGAAAGGAGCTGTGATGGCGCAGTGGTTAAGCGCTCGGCTGCTAACAAAAGGTCGGTGGTTCAAACCCACCAGCCGTTCCGCAGAGAAAGATGTGGCAGTCTGCTTCCCTAGAGATTACAGCCTTGGAAACTCTGGAGACAGTTCTCCTCTGTCCTGTAGGGTCCTGTGAGTTAGCATCGACTGACAGCAGTGGGATTGGGTTTCTCCTTCTGGAGTCCCAGGCATCGGGAACAGGTGTTTCCACTGGAATGGAGGGTAGGTTATAGGTGCAGGAAGCTGCTCAGGTATAATCTTCACGAGCTGACCTGGCCTCCCTGATGCTGCCACAAAGCACCGCAGCAGCCCCTCCTGGGCTTGGAGCAGAGCCTGTGCGTCCTCCTTTCGTTCATTTCACAAACTGCGGCCAGCTCGACCTTCCTGAAGCGCAGCTTAGACTTCAGTCACGTCCCTGCTCACAAACTGCCAATGACCCCCCCCCACTGCTTCCAGAATAATCCACACTCCTTATAGAACATTCAAGGCTGGTGACAAGTGGGCCTTAAACACAGTTAACACAGTTGCCACCAGGTCTAGAAGCACAGGGGCCATCTGCTAGAACACCAGGCAACAGTACAACGCAGTAACACTCACAACCACAAGGACCAACGCTTTGAACCTGAGGGCTCCCCAGTTAACATCACTGAGTCACCATCACACCAAATGATCATCACACCAAATGGCCATCACTAGTGACCATTACACCAAGTAACCATACCAAGTGACCATCACACCAAATGATCATCACACCAAATGGCCATCACTAGTGACCATTACACCAAGTAACCATACCAAGTGACCATCACACCAAATGATCATCACACCAAATGGCCATCACTAGTGACCATCACACCAAGTAACCATCATACCAAGTGACCATCACACCAAGTGACCATCATACCATGTGATCATCACACCAAGTAACCATCATACCATGTGACCATCACACCAAGTGACCATCATACCA